CATAGTATGAAATTTATAATGGCAAACATTAAAAATAGATGAAAGTAAATAAAAATTTAAATTATAGAATATACTTTATAAAATTAATAATAAGTGGTTAAAATATATTTTTTAATTACTTAAAACATAGAAGTTATTTGGCAGAGATTGTTGGATATGAAATTACTACTTCAAATTTTCAGATTACTATTGTTCATATTTAAAGTCTCAACTTGCAGTCTTAATCCACATAACAACCATTGTAAAAATCACCCGTTATCATATTCCAAAGATCAGCAGCATACATTTTTTTCAAAATCGTGCATAATATTAAATATTGGCTTTTGATAGTCAAGTTGATACAAATAAGATGAACTGTTTTTATGATTTTAGACTAGTAGTTTATTCTTACATTCACTTATTACAATATTTCATTTTTTATATGCTCGGCTATCCAAAATTTCAAGAGCTTTCCGGATATTTTTTTTGTCGAGTTTTTACTATACATACATTTCAGCATTTACATCGTCAAAATTACACAGACACATACTTGAAGTGAATTTACTTTTACAGCTAAACACAGGAACTGGAAAACAAAAAGTACTTATTCGGAGATTGTATTTCTTTTTCGTTCATGAAAATCAAAGTTCATTACACAAACATGCATTCACACTGCACAAGCATGTATGGAAATTCTTAATACATTTAGTAAATAAATCAGAAAATATTTTAATGTATAACAAATGAATAGTAAGTAACTAAGCTTTTAGTTAGTAGTTAGAGAACTTTTATAAAACAGAGCATAATAACACAGTTACAAAGATATTTAATGTTATAAAGTTAGGTAATTTAGTAAATTTCAGTTGTTCATCAAAGCAATGAATTATGAAGTTCCTTGTGTATCTTTATAAATGAACTTTATTGCTGTTTTAAGCAACTTGAACAGCTGTTCAAGTTATTTTAATAATTTTGAAATATATACACTAAAAGAAACAATAAAATGTATTAATCTATTTGTCAAACTTGATTTTGGCACGAAAGTCTGCAGAATGCTTCGTAGTTTTTAAGCACATAGAGGCACTGCAATTCTTATTCCTTGATCTGAAGTTTTCTGCAATTTTTTTTTTTTTTTATTTAAATTGCTGTATTGGCACACATATAATTTTTGTATAGTGGCTTCAGATGTGGATAAGTTTTTCAAACACTTTCGTTTATTTTACTTTTACTGGCGTCGCTGAATTTTGCGATGAAATGCAGCACATTTATTGCCGAGTATCACCTTCCAGACTTTTCATACTGTTAATGTATACATCAGCAGTGAATTATTCTCCTCTTTCCTCAAATACACTACGGCGTTAAACAATAACCATTCACTAAAGATTTTGCGTAAATTTCCACTCATAATAATTTAAATTGCGAAAATCTCACAATTAGCACCTAAACACACTATTCAGGAGCACAATTCTTTCGAAAGCGCACCGTAGTAGTCAAAAGTGGGGTCTTGAAATATCATTCGACGCAAAATTGAAAGGGGGTAGGTTGATACGTCCTTCCCTGTATAAGATATAGTACTTTCGCCTTGATAAGAGTTGGAATAAAAGGTTCACTCAACGTGAACTGTGGGCCATCTCTTCTGTTAACCTATGTGCAAATTTTTTTCTTACTTTCCAGAATTCACTTTGAGAATGGATGCCAAATGACCAAAAAATCCGGGCATATTTTCAACGTAGTATTAATTTTCTTTTTTTAGTAATATGACAACTATGTCAAAAAGTTACAATGTCCTAGGTTTCTTTCCAGATTGAAAAAAAAGACTTAAAAAGGTTATTAATCTAACTATAATCAAAATATATTAATCATTTACTGTTTTCTGTTTATAGCTTGTATCTATCTTCGGCCTTAAGATACAAGCTATATGGTAAAAATTAAATTGTAAATTTAAACTTTTCGTTATTCGTTCTTAACTTTCATGAAAAGTAAAAATCAATGTTACTATTTTTAATTGTAAGGTGTAATAAAGCAGCTTTCTTTTATATTAATTATTTTCATTTTTTTAATTAGATAAACGTTCTGTTGTTAAAATGGTTTGCATAACTACAAATTTCTGGGCAGTATAGGATAAATTAAGTAAAATTTTCCACCTTGACATGTGAAAGATTTCCAAAACTTATATAGTGTATTTCGTTTCAACTTATTAAAGCAGTTTTCTTGAGAGGATAATATAATGCGCTAAACTGAAATCATGAATTCACATAACTGTTTATTGTAATTAAGATTTTTTCTAACCTAAGCATATCCGTGAAATAGCAGAAACTCATTTTTTAAAAGCTTTAATGTTATGGCGCAGGCATTTATATTTCAACATTTCTTAATAATTTGGTGTAATAGTAATTTGGATATCATCTTTATTACTGTAAAACAAAATTCACATACGAGGGATTTCTTATAATTTAACAATTTTTACTGGAATAAATGCCGAACAGCTTAGAAACACTACATATCACTGCCGTATGCCCTGTTTTGAAGTCACAACATAACGGGCTTTGTTCGCGGAGTTTCATTCCCCGATAGTGGAGGAAACTGCGAACCCTACCTCCTTCTATTCTAACCTCCTTGGTTAGTGATACTTTGATACGAACGTGATTCAGGTTTTCTACTGCGGCAGGTGTATTATGCGCTGTAAGCTGCAACAACTGATGATATTGAAAAAAAAAAAAAAAATTAAATACAATGCATATTCAAACTAGTGCGGGATAATATAAAAATAAAAAATATAAAAAGAGTTTGCTTAAACAATAAACCACTGTGAAAAAATAAACTAATCTAGAAATTGTTCAATAAAGCAACAAATGCTTGAAAAAAGTAAAAAATAAAAAGGGCAATAAATGGTTTACTTCCAGAATCACTTCGGAGGACATGAATTCAGGCTTAAAAACTTATATATTCTTACTATCAACATTTCAGTAATTATTCAAACCTATGCATGCACACAAACCTTTGTACAGTTATTATACATTGTTGACAGTCTTTCCAAAGAACTGGAAAAATGTTCATGCATTAGCAATGGGAAAGTTTTATTTCATATTTCCTTAATAGTCTTTTTACGTCCAAAATGTGAATATGTGGTTCGGTTTTGCACTGCTGTTCGAAAACTGTCAAGTCAGCCTTTTTTACGGAGAGATTTGTATCTTGTATTAGGCAATATGATCTTTTGTTGTGAAAGTTACAATGGAGTAGTAATTTATGTCGGCGAGAAGAATGTCTACAATGTATGGAGAATGTTATACAGTGGATGGCAAAAAGAGTTTTCTGCTTTGCCCATCCGTTGTGTAGAATGCATTAATTTACTGAAAAATGACTTTGAATGAAGTACAAATTAAAACTACCATAAACTCAATTCTTTGGTCTGCTTCCTAGTAGATTAACACAGTATGCCGGTAGGAGCATTTTTGTGGCCTTATTTGTTTATTTTTTATTTTCAATGTGGAATCAAATATTAAATGATTTTAGTGTAATGATGATTAGTGTCTTCATTTAAAAAATATTATGAGATTCAGTTTTACTTTTTTATGCAGGGGTTGCGTGTTAAAATTAGATGTGGAATAGACCATTTTAAATAATTGGACGTATTATATATAACATACTATCAGAATAATAAGATTATTTAGAAGGATCGATTGTGTTTTTGAAGTTAGAAGGTTTATTTAGAAGTATCGATTGGGGTGGAAAGTTTTCGGATATAGCAAACAAAACATGAAATTCTCCAAATGAAATTTGCAAAGAAATGTGAAGAAGTGGTAATAAATGAAGATATGACAGACAAAAGCAAAGCAACTTAAATAACTTGCATTGAAAGAAATATTTAATAAAGCAAACTGATAAATATTGAGCTTTTTTGGTAAATTTTGATCCCTTTAAGGTCATAAATGGTTCATTATTTCATAAATCTGTATTTCATATTTTTAATTCTATAATTTCTACGTCATCTTACTAGATTTAAATTGATGATGTAATATCTGGAAAAATCCCAAATCCAGAATTGGCAAAATCTTGATGAGTTTGGATCTTGGACATTTTACTGTATTTCCAAATTTTCAGAAATTGATTGATTTGTTTTTTTATTGACTATTATTAAAAGAGCATTTTCTCCCATTTGTGAGTCCTTGATGTCAGTTTCTTTTTTTTTTCTTTCTTTTTTTTTTTGGTATGCTTTCATTTTTGATTTCGTTTTTGACATTGTGTTCTGGAATGAAGTTTTGTGAATAAAGCTTGCAAATTTTTATTCTGATTATACTTATTTTTCATTTAAGAGAGTTCTAATAACTGCAGTTTTATGAGATGTAAAGTCCTTTTTTGACCAATTTAAATGTAAAAATTAAGCATAATTAATAAATAATAAATAAATTAAAAAAATTCACTGAAGTAATAATTTAGGAAAAGAAAAGCAAAGACAGCCTATGAAATAGACCACCTTACAATTTCTATTTACTTTCATTAAAAACTTGTAGAAAGGAAAGAAATAGCATTAAGTCTACTGACAAATAGGTTATTGTTTTAAAGATCAATATTGATGCCTTTCAGATATTTTAAAATATAATTCTTAATTAAGTGTTGCCATTATTAGTTTAAGAAATATAACATGTAAATACACATTTTCAAATAATTATCAATTTTGACTTGAAGTAATAATACTGTTTATAAAATACTTTTCATGAAAATTAATTTTTTTTAATCCAATAATTTGTCCATGTCATGGAATCCATATCTGAAATTGCTTACTGTATTTCTAAATTCAACAAATTTTATATGATGTATAAAATTTACCAGATTTCTCAAATATTTTAATTTTAGTATTTTCATTTTATGTCTTTTATTTATAGAATACTAAAGCACGTTTAATTGGATATGGGAGATATCCTTTCATCCACATTCCTTTTGTCTGGGAAATAAAGATGGCAGTGAATGGACTTCCATTCTTGATTCAGATACATCAGTTCTATTTCTCATGTCAGTTTGACATCTAATGAGATCCTCATATAACATGTATCTTGTATTCAATGGATGGAGAGGACAATTCAGCCGATTCCTTGTTGAACATTGACAAAAATGCTTGGGAAGAAACAACTGCTCAAGTGATTCAAAGTATTGAAGAACGTTGCTCACGCAAGGAATATGAAGGCTCTACCACTCAATTCGGAGCACAAAGTGAATTTTCTAGGCCATGGAGTGGACACAAACAATCTAGAAAATCTCGTGCCAAGTGTGATAATGTTTTGGCAAGCTCCAAGAGCAAATCTGAAGCAGAAGATGGAATATCTAATACAGCAGAGCTTGTAAAGAATGCTATTGTGTCTGAAGAAGGTCAGATTCATCCATCAGAATCAGCTTTAGAAGTTCATCTAGAGGACATTAAGTACATTGATGATAGTGCCAAAAGTTCTTTGTCAACTAGTCTTACTGAAGCACCTGCACCTGTATCACAGCCACCAGTTGTTAATCGTCCACAATCGCCACAACAGACAGTCGAAAGATCGTGTGCTTCTGTGCTTGAGGAACGATATTGTCAAGCATTTATTAGTTCCAAAAATGAACAAATTGCAGATAGCTGGAACAGGCATTACACATCTCCACGCCTTCCTCCCAATCACCACCTATATACACCAAAAACACCAAAATACAAACATGAAGCTAGGTTGGTTGTTAGCCCATTACCTCCTGAGAAACTAAAGGAAAAAGATGGAACTTATTCTGAAACCGATTATTACTCTCGTAATTCAATTGGAGACTCTGAACATCAAGCTACTGCTGTCTATATAGAGAAAGATTTTAGGTAAGTTTTCTATGTCCTTTTAACAGTTTAATTGCATTTTATTCTAATTTTTCTGTTTTATCACATACCAGCACTCAAGCTGAATTATTGAACCCTGGTAATTCAAGCCAGGGCTTGCTGCGTGGGAGTTTTTATGGTTTTATCCAAGCATAATATGGATATGAGTAAGTTTCCCTGATAAAATCCTTCACAAGGGCATCACTGTCCTTAGACCCTTGTATCCTTTGTCATAATCTAAGTAATACAGTTTAGTTCCTATCGGATCATTCTTAGAAGTATTTTCAGGCTTTTTAGTAGTTCTTGAAGGTTGATTGTCAAGCTATGAAATTATGATTTGGATCTTAGCCAAGGAATGATTGTTCATGGTTACACTTTATTTCATGGAGTGATGGCATGTAAATTAACTGTCTGGAAGTCCTTTTTAAGAAGTAGCTTATCAGGGAAGAATGGATGGTGATGTTTTCAGTTTCGTTCTTTAAGGCGCTTTTAATTAAAATTGGAATGGAGTTCAAGCAGTGCCTTAATAAATCTAATCCACTTTAATCTTTGAGATATCTAGGTAATAAAATAATTATAGCTATTAAAATAAAAGCTGATAAAATAATTATCCAATATATTTTATATGCATTATCAGTGTTTCAAGTTCTATCAGCTTATCTGGAACTATATGAGGTCAGTAATGAATTGCAAAATACAGCATCACAATAATTGATATGTAAGAGGATTTTTTCACAGTGTAAAGTTTACTAGGATTCACTCTGTGTGCCTTTTGTGACTCGTAGTTGTATAGCAGAATAGCTATGATTATGTATAGTAACTATAATTATAGAGTAGCTATAGTTGTATAGTAGTTTTAGGGAATCATCCTGATTCCATGTTGAATGGATCATTCCGATTCAGTGAAGATTTAGACAAATCATCTCGATTCATTGATTTTTTGAAGAAACATCCTGATTCTGTTCAGTTTTAGACCAATCATCTTGATTCATTGATGTTTTGTAGAAATCATAATTCAAGTGGTTAAGTGGGACAAAGAGAAGTTGTATGAAAGATATTATGACAGTGATCAAAATGCACATTTTAAAGCATAATTAATACATTGAAGAAGCCTCCAAACTGGTCATAAAAAGATTCCCGGTTTACGCCTCATAGAGATGAATGTGAAATATCTTGCGGATTCTTCGTCGAGACGTCATCAGAGCCCAAGAGGGAGTCTATAACCTAATGGTAAATGGCAACAGTCAAAAAAGTTTTGAAACATCTAACATCTCAACTGTTAGTTAAATTTTTTGACAGATTTTTGCTTGGAAATAACTTTTCCTCTTATCCAAGTGTAAATATCTTTATATTACTTTTGACATGTAATTCTTCTATGTAGTGTTTTTATTTTAATTAAATTTACTTTGATAAACGTAAAGTTTACATGGCCCTCTGTTATAACCTTAGATTAACAGCACATTTGCCATGTATGTGTAAAATTATGTCAATCAAAGGTTGTTTTTTGATTAATTTTAAATAGATGTTATTATAGTTACCTTAGAAGCAGTAGTAGAATTCTATTAGTTAGCATACAGATAAAGAAATGATTATTAATAAACGTGCATTTGAAAAAAAAAAAAAAAAGAAAAAAGAAAAAAAAGGTGAACTTTATGTAAAGAGTAACACATTTTATCTACTATTTTAAAATTGAGTAAGTACTATTAAATTTTTTAATGTGCATTACAACATGCATACAGCAATAACATTGTCTCTTCCAAATTATAGCTATTTTTCATGTGGTTCATTTTAAATGCTGCTTCTTCAGATTTAAAATGCTAGTTTCTATGTTGTGAATTGCATCTCCACAGTGTCAGCATGACTATGTCATCACTTCTCACTTCCTGTTTAAGGGGAAAAAGCCCTATGAGCTAGCCCTTCTCTTTTAAGTCCTGAGTGATGCCTAGCACTTAGGAAATACACTGAGCAAAAAAGTGGTCAGTGTCTTTGACAGAAAAGAACTGCAAAATTTTCTGACTAATTAGATATGTGAAAAAATATGTAGATTAAATTGTCTTAATGATGATAATGCCCTACTTGTCATCAGTTAATGGCTGATAAAATTTGTAGTATGATTTTAAGTCCAGAAAATACTGCTCTTAATTGTGAAGAAAATTGTAAAGATGTTATTGAAAATGTAAAGATGAATTTCCATTTGACAATTTAGTGAAAATTTTGGGCATGGCCATTACAGGACTTAGTGAAAATTTTGTAACTGAGCATGAAATGAGGAAAAGTATCGACATATAAAACAACATATCTATGAGAAAAAGTATTGACATATAAAACGAAATTGCTTAAACAACTTATGTTGAAAAAAATGCTTCTTAATAAAATAAAATGTTAACATTGACATTTTTTGATACTCTTCCGTTATTGGGACGGGATTCAGAAAAGTATGTGTGTATGCACATTTGTATGTATGTGCGTATATTCAGATTTTTAATTTAATAATTGCTACATGTCATCTTACTAGATTTAAACTGATCAAAATTGGATATTTCAGAAATCCGGACTTCAAACATCCTGACGATTCTATATGTCAGACTGTATGTGTGTGTACTGCATGTGTTTTTTCTGAATGTACTGAATAAAAGTACATTTATTATCCAATACTTTAATTGTGTTCTTTTCTTGCAGGTATTATTTTCAGCATCCTTATTCTCGCCTCTTTGTGTCTTACTTCGTCATATTTTGCAATTTCTTGGTGTTTGCAGAAGATCCTGTTTCACACAGTCATACTGAAAGTGAAATACCAGTTGTCGGCAATGTTTTTTCCTTTGTCGCTACAAAGTATCCTCCACAGTGGAGCTGGTGTGTGTTAAAAGTCATTCTGTGGGTAGTTGCTATCATAAGTGGATGTTTTTTTGGAAAATATCTCATACACCACATTATTCTAAGTAAGGATACTTTATTATTGATTGGAATGTTGTTTTAAATTGATTATTTTTTATAAGAATATTGCTTATAATTGATTAGAATGTTAATGGGTTCATAAAGTATGGAATCTACTAAGTTGCATGAAATTAATTGCAGCCAGATCCTTCCTTTTTTTGTAAACTGCAACATGATTGTAAAACAGTTTTGATTTTAAACTAAAAATTATCATATAAGTATGTGTATAGCCATATATACATATATATTGCTTATAATAATCTTTCAAATAATATAATATTCAAGTGTTGGCATTCCATTAAATTGGCACTTTGAATTTGTTAACAGTTTCGAAAAAAAAAAAAGAATTATGAAATGTTTAACTATATTTATTAATCTAGATTGCATAGTGAATCTGTTTATTAACTTACTATGATTTCAGTGACTAAATCATAGCAATTGAATTGAATAAATTCATTAAAATAATTACAAATGAAAGTTTTTGAAATTTATGCAGTTTGTTATGTAATAAGAGGATATTGAAGAAATCTTTAAATAATTATGTCATTTTTAAAGCAGTAAGAAAACTCATTAAAGACTAATTCTTAACAAATGTAAAAAGAGTAGGGATTTCAAAAATGTTTACAAAAGTAGATTTACAGGTTTAAACGTAGTAATCAACTATTCTGTCCTCAAAATCAAGCCATGCTTAGAGTTGATAAGCAAGGCTAAATGTGTGTTAATTCATGAATGTTTTTATGCATTAGCATGCATATCAACTGGAATATTGTTTGATTTCTTAATAATTTAAGTCATTGATTTGTGGACTGTCATGAGATAAAATTTCTTCTTTAGCTAGCTTTGAAATAAGAAATGCCGTAAAATAAAAATTGCACATGTCTGTGTGAGGAGAATGAAATGATTATTTCTTTACTTAAATTCTGTCAGTCCTTTTTAGTCTGAAAATTCTGTGATGGGATTATTACATCCCAAATTCCCTGATATCATTGTTAACTTTTCATTTGTTTCAGAGCATATAGCTTACGTTTGCATTATCTGATACAATAAATATAAAAGATATTAAAAGAAAATATTGTCCATTTGTATAAACCTTTTGTAATTTCAAAGTTTCAAAAATAATTAGTTATTGAAGAACTTATTTCATTAAGCAATAAACCTTTGGATTTCTTTTTCAGACATCCTTGTATTATGTGTAGAATCAGTTCTGTGCCTTAAAATGATCATTTGACGAAGTATATTTAAGGTTCAGTAAAAGCCCAAGTATTCACCATTCAACTAATTGGAAAACTCAAGTGGAATATTTTAGAATTTTAGGAAAGAAATGTTCCCTCCAAAATTAGTGAGTGATTCTTAGAACCATGATAGAGCTCATTATAGTATTAGCACAATCATCAAACAATGTGATTTAGTGACAGTAATTGATAAGCCCAACATCAGAAAACTATCATAAAAACTTCACCATAGTTCTATGTAAACCTGATTTATTTCATGATAAACCAATTTAATTTTTAAAAAGAAGGAGTTTCTTTCCCTTCACCCTTTTTTTTTTAATTAATATTTGGGAGCCTGCTTTTTATAAGATAGCATGCAGTGGAATATTTTTAAAATTACAGAATACAGTGGAATATTTTTAAAATTACCATCAAACAAGGCTCGGTATGTAACTCTATTTGAAAGTGGATAAACAACGGTAATGTAGTGTGAAAAATTATGATAAGCAATTTGAATTTTTTATATGCTGTATTTGTAATTTGTGTCTTTATTATCTAACTAGCTAAAGAACAGTCTGCTGCTGTAAATTTCTGCCAGAATGATTGGTGCAAAATGCTTGGTAACATCTTAGCCAACTCTCATGTTTTAAGGCCTATGAAATATTGTTTCATATTTGAGGCATTTTGTTTGTCTGAAATGCATTTTGTTTGAGGTCTTGTGTAATATTAAATGTAAGTTTTTGATATTCAAGCTTGTACCGAACAAGATGATTGTTTTTATAATTTTAGATCAGAAATTTTTTCCATTCATTTGGCTTTTCTAATGTGAATTCTATTATATATGTACAGTCAAAAGTCGTTAATTCGGACACCCATAATCTGAACCTCAAAGCTACAAACTTTCTGCACATGCGTCGCGTTGACGCATGTGCGTAAGACCTTTACGGCTGCGAATATGCTTGTGCGCGTATGCAAAATATGTTTACGAGTGCGCGCGTTTAATGTACAATGGACAGTATAAGCTAAGCTAAAATTATCTATTTCAGTTAATGTTGCAGATTGCGTTGTTGTTCCTTAATCTTCAAATTGGATCCGGCTTATTATTTTTTGCAGACTATTAGAGCAATTTTATAAAAGTAAGCTTGAACTTTCGATTATGTGAAATAGAATTTCTAATATATATTTATTAATATGTAAAGGATCTACAAAGCGAAAGTATGTTTCGAAGTTCATTAAACAAAAAGTGGAATTGCTGCAAAAAATGGATAAAGGCATATCCTTTATTTATCTAAACTTTAACGTTTATTATTTATCTAAACTTTGTTTATCTTTAATGCCAGGGTGTGCAATGAATTGGAAGTTGATCTGTCAGCACTATCCTTATCTTCAGGGCAGATGTTTTTATTTTATTTGGCTTATAATTCCTTATTAAATGTAGTATTTCATCTCGATGTACTCCGTCTTTCATATGATTTAAATCAAATTCCTCGTTATTATAATTCGCTTCCGATAGCAAAGAAAGTGACAGAGGTTATTGGTTTTTGAAAAAAAAATTTCGATTGACAAATTACAGCAATTACATTCTTGAACAATTTTGAACAAGAAATTATGATAGAATTAAAGATGTATTATCACATAAAAAACGAAGCAACTTAAAACAAATTAAAATAATAAATAAGCTGCTTTTTTTTTTTTTTTTTTTTTTTTTTTTTATTTAATTTTGATACCCTTTAGATCATTATTGTTCTTTATTTCATAAATTATGGTTTCATATTTTTATTTTTTTAATTTCTGCATGCCATCTTACCAGATTTAAACTGATGATCTATAATCCGGAATCGCCGAAGTCCCGACGAGTCCGGATTAACGACGTTTGACTGTATATTTAATCACTTGATTATATGGATTTTCACATGCATTCAGCATTTTCTGAACTTTTTGAATAGTTTAACTTTTAGTGCACATAATTTTTTTGTAATGGTGCCAACAAAAATTAATTGCAAGAGAACTTGCATCAAACATTGTACAGTCTGGTTAAGTTAGAATTATAAGGCTATATTTTAATGGTTCCAAAAAAGAAAGAAATTGCTTTGGGCTTTCAGAATGCTGGCATTCAGCAAAATATAAAATCTTTCAATTTATCTGTCAGTTTAAGCAGCCTAAAATTGCCTAATAAACTGAGAAATTTAAAAGTTTTCTAATATAAGGGTTTGATTGGGATAATTTCTGTAGTAGCACTCTCCAATCTGCGGTATGTATACACCTGGGGGTAGTCAGGGGTATACAAAAAAAAAAAAAAAAAAAAAAAAAATGAACGATAATGACAGAAAATAGCAAAGCATTATAATGAATGCTGATTTAAAAAAATATTTAAAAATTTTCAGTTATGATTGAATAAAAGAGGAAATAGTTAAAAGAAACTCCAAGGTAACCATCTCTGACCAAAATGTGTAAGATGCGATTAGCTATAATTACCTCTGCTGATATCATTTAATGATTACTGTGATACTCGTAGATTGCACTCTTCCTCGATTGCTACCTGTATGTCATAGCGAAACATATAAAATGATTGGTCAGCCAATAATCCAATAATAATTTTAATGTTGATGATGATAACATCAAATGAGTTACATAGCTTTTGTCACAGTTATATTAAATCAGGCCTGTTTGAGTGTGGAGTTTTGTTTTGCATTAGTTTTTTTTTTTTTTTTTTTTGCATTATGAGGTTTGTTATAGAACTAAACTGTCATGAATAATGGCTTTGATTTGCCATCTGCGTTAAACAATTCTGAAGAGCTAGGCTGAGATGAAATTATTACTCTGGTAAGAGATAGGCTGAGACTATCCAAATAACAATCCTGTTTAAAATTCACTTTAGATTAATTAGATTAATTATAAATTAGTATTTTATTGTGGTACAATAAATACTATTTCAAAAAGGCTTAGAGGTTTAGTATAAGCTTAGATCTCATTAATAGTCAATAAATTCATCAGTTCACGCATTTTGTCATTTCCATTTTATGAAAAACCGATATTCAAATTAATTACAGTATGTTAATAACATTATATTTTGCTTTAAAAATGTATTCTTACCACACTTATTTGAAATAAATAATGTAATAATCTGTTTTTGTGTCATTATATTTTTCTGACTAAAACAATACAGTACTAAGATACATTGTGGGAATTTTATGGAGGGGTCATAATTTTAAAAGGGGGGGTCAGGGTTATAATTCTATATTACAAAGTCTCATTAATGAGTAAGCAAAAGGAAAAATGTTGTAAGGTGTATATTAATTTTATAACAGTTATTTTTAATTTTGAAACCTTTTCCTTTCAATTCTTGTTTCTCCACTTACAACTCCGTAACAGAATGAGTTTTTAGAATCGCATTGAATGCAAATGAGTTAGAAGTAAGTAATTTAAAGGAAAGTTCCAACTTACTTCGTGCGAGTAAGTGCTTAGGAAGTCCTTAGTGGCATCTCATTTGCCTTCTGACTACTTCGTTCTTGAAAATCTATTACGCTCGGCCATATTGTACGTGCCTATTGATAATCGCCAGCTAGATTAAATTGAGGGCCAGCTCTGTTATATATTTATAATAGCTTAATAGTCTAGCTTTGGTTAAGTCTGTTTTAGTTAGTATAGATTAATTTCTTATTTTCTTATCCTGACTTAAAAACCTTAGTAGAGGCTTTCCTCTACTAAGGTTCCCAAAAGGACTTCTACTTCCCCAAAAGGGGCCATCCGTATTATTTCTTTGAGTGAATAAAAGGGTATTTTAATCCATCTTAAATTTACGTTATAAGTACATGAACTCGGTGATAAATCACTACTTAGTTCACTAGGTTCCTCGACATTTTATAATAGACAAAATATTGAGGGACACATCAAGGTTGTGAACTGTTTTTCTGTGAGATGGCATCACAGTTCATTTGCTGTTGTGGTTTAGAGATGTTGCTTTTCAAATAATCTCAGGCCAAAATTTGGATGATAGGCATGTGCTGTTCACTTTTTAGACAGTTGAAGTAAGCATTATAACAGTTAAAATAAAAATGAGGGAAAAGAAAATCTTTGTATAGTTAGCTTTCATTTGAAGAAGTAAGTGGTCACTCAGATAAAAGAAGAGTTGAATGAAATTCAAGAAGTTCTGCTCTAAAATATAAGGCAGTTTTGTTTCTGCATAAAAGAGTTTAAACCTGATTTAACATGCATTAAGCACAAATCATGCTGTGGACACACTCTTGAAATTATCACGATTTGATATTGAAGAGGTCAATGTTAATGTTATGGATGACATGTCAAATGGCAAATGAAAGATCATGGGATTGCTGAGACTGTAAGCATCTGAAACAAATAAGTGCTATATTTCCTCAGTATAATTAAAACATCTCAGAGCCAGTAATTAAGACAATTAAGTATGACAAGCACCAACTTATTAATGAAGTAACACACACACAAGAATAAAATTGAGAGATTTTTTAAGCTACATTGCTTGCGCACAGAGTTCAAGTCCTAATGATAGTTCATTTAGTCATGTGACCTGTAAAAAGGAGACAAATTCTTATGTTTGGTTGAATCATGCATCACATGACTAAGAGCAGATGCTTTATTTGAATAATAACTGACACCATTTTTTACTGTCTTCTCCTTAAGCAATGTAAGTCCTCATTTATGGCTTCTTCTTGGTGGCTGCTTTCTGGTAAAGACAGCTTGTCCATCAGTTTCAGGAGCTTTTCTTGGTCAACCTCTTCCTTGATCAGGAGTAGAAGTGTATAGTCTTGCCCTTCATATGGCCATAGGACAGATTCATGGTTGTCAACCAAGGAAGAAAAAGGGTCATCAGTTGCAAATCTTTTTTGTTGACTGAATGGTCGGCGCAATTTATCCACAACAAAGTTAGCTTTGGGGCAGGTACGGGAAGTATGGCTTATTTTACCTTGGCCATAACATTTATGATCATCTTGTTCACAATCTCTGGATATATGCCCATGTTTTCCACATATGTATCATGCTTTCATGTGTTTTTTGCAGACTCGTGCAGTATGACCAGTTATTTTACAATTATAGCATTCATTGGAATTCATGAACTTTCTTACCAGTTCTTTCTTTGGTGGAGATATACGATGCCTTGGAACTGTTACAGGGCTTGTTACTCGTGTTTATATAATGTTGGATTTTGGGAATCAGTTCTTCCTCTGGTTGAAGGGTATGTGAACTGAGCAGATATTTCACTTTCTCTTGACAGGGAAATATACACATAAACTCTATTATATTCTAAATATTCAGATGATTTGAAAATATCATCAAAGCTAAATTTCTGTTTAGGATTGTCGTGGAAGTACCATCTATTATTTGGAAAGTCTAAAACAATTCTAACGCTATATTAAAATTGAGTCTTTAAAAGTGTTCTGTTATCAACAGTCTTCACAATGACTAGAACCATTGTTTATTTGGTGGTAGGTTCAGGCTTTTCAGGGACCGTATGGTACTATTTTGTCTGCCCCTTGATTGTGGGGATGCTACATGGTCAGATATCGAAGGTTGTCCTTGGGGGTTTAGTTCCCCTTGGTCAACACTGGGGGATGGTTGATGTTTAACTATGACTTAATTTTATTTGTGGTGAATGCGTTGCCATTCACCTTTGATGTGTGCTTATAACCCAGACTATGTGAAACATTTAAGTCCCTCTGGGTTGATCGGGAGGATGTTGTGCCTCTTCAGATCACCTCTAGGGGTTGGAGCGATTAACTGAATAAGGGTGCTTTGAACAATGGCAAATCTGGGTGCCACTTCCTCCTAGTGCACTGTAGGTAATGCAAAAGGATGATTGCTCTGAAAGTCATTGAGAGCAATCGTCCTTCAATTTCAGTATCTACTTGCGTCGTATGAACTTATGTTTCCTTCTGAAGACCATCGGCCAGAGTAACATTCATACTGGTTTTCCCATATTCTATTCCTCTTTCTTTCAAAATAGGATATAATATTTCTCCTGCTATACAGTGTAGCTGGTTCCAGTGTCAGCACATACAATTCTGGTCAACACAATTTATTTTTACTCCAAAAGAGTCCTTTGGGGTTCCTTGACAGAGAATGTTCGAAGGTGTATAGCTCTGAAATCAGCATTTGCATTCTTGAGAGGAGGGGAGCAGATAGGGCATTTAGCATTAATACCATACTAGCAATAATACTAGATTGTAATTTTAATATGTCCATTTCAAACAACCGTTAATTCTCTTTCTCAGCACGCTATTCTATTTCCATTTCTTTCCTATCATTTGTGTGTGTTTCAAACATTTTTATGTAAACTCCAGGTCATACATGGGACTGCTGATTATAGCACTACTTATTTCAGTAATTCTAAAGTTTTCCTCTATCAGTACACTTAATTCAACTCTCCTGCTAATTTAACTAAATCCTGTTTCTTCCCTTTTGCTAAATAAGCCATGTTTAAATGAAAGTTGATAAATTTCCTCAAAATGTACACTTAAACATTTAGTGTGCAAATATATTGTAGGGTTTAAAATTTTTTTGTATGGGTTTAGTACACATCAAACATACATATTCAAAAGCAAAATAATAACTCAATTTATATCACTTTCTCTTGTTTTTTTTTTTTTTTTTTTTTTTTTTTTTTAAATGACATATAACATACCTTTCTCTGACCGTAAACTGTTATATAGAATTCTTTCATTAATTTGCATTAGTGCAAAATATAACATCTTAGCACTATATATTTCTGTGCCTTTTCTGTTGTTCTGTTTCTAAAACAAAACTGAGTCATTTATTTTGTGTTTATAATATTTGACCTTTGTTTTCATTGCTTCATATTGAAAATTGTATAGAACAAATATGAAATATTCATTTTGCTTTATACAAAATGTTCATTCAAATATTATTTTCTTAAAATTGCCAAAGTAGCGAACTGCCATCTCAAATTCTTTGTTCAAATTTCAGCAATACTTCAAAACTTATCTTTCAGTACTAAAGGAACTGGTATGCAACAGAATTTGTGTGATATGAGCAGAGTGACATTTAACTGATTCAGATGATCAATGAAAACAAAATTAGGTCAGTGTGACTAGAATTCTGTTTATATTTACTTGATCCTGACGATCAGTGAAAACGAAATTAGATCAATGCGACTAAAATTCTTTTTGTTCCAAATTTATTTAGCTAGAAATCATTAAACATTAAAGTTTATGTATCTTCAATGTATCCATGAATTATCCGTTGTCATCACTTTTGGTTTTGACAATCCATATGGGGAGTTTTGGCCCTATAGTTGTTCCGCAAGTTTATCTTAGTATAACTAAAACATCTTGGACCTAGTAATAAGACAATAAAGCATGACGAACATCAGTTTGTTAATGAAGTAACATGCACACAAGAATAAAAGTGAGAGATTTTTTAAGCTACATTGCTCACTAACAAAAGTTCATTAAGTTACATGACCTGCAAAAAGAGAATGAATGAATATATTTGGGTGAATCTTGCATTACATGGCCTAGAACAGGTGCTTTGTTTTATGAATGACTAATGCCATCTGTTACAATACACAATATTCTGCATGAAAAATTATAAATGAAAAAGCTGTATACATAATGAATTTTTTACTGTTAACTAAATTAAAAATATTATATAATAATGACATATTTATTATGTCAAAAAGAAATACATAATTTATTATCATAAGTAAAGAAAAAAGGATATTAACCCCGATTCTGTTTTCAAGAAACATTATTATCAAATTACTAGGGACATACGGCAATGTAGAATTTAAAATTAGTCTAGAAAACAACCTTAGTTTGGCATAGATTTTGAACGAAATTGTATTGAGAGCAATCAAATGCAGGTCCTTCTTTTTCAAGAGCAAAAATATTTTCCTGAGAAATGATCTGATTTACAGGATTCAAATTGAAAACAGTTGAATACCTTTAAGAATAGTATTCAAGTATTTGTTTAAAGAATTTTTGTTGTATTTATAATTTCTGAATTTTGTTATATTTATGATATAATTTCTTCTTCTAGGTAGATTTTTTCGTCTGAAAATGTTTCGTGATGAGCAAGGCACTTGGATGATTATGTTTTTAACTTCACTAATGTTTATATATATGTTTTCAAAGATTTATAACACATTTTTGCAATCAGGACATCCCCAGGTTGAGAAATATCGTATAAATTCTCATATGGGCATCACTAATGCAAATTTTATGAAAGCTGCTGCTTGTGGAACTTGGGTTGGAGATTTTGTTACAGCTTGGATGGTAAGTTGTCCATTTTAGAAAGAAAGAAATGGAAGAATCTGTAGCATTAAATATATAAAAGATATTTCAAAATTGTGACACAGCTACTTATCTCTTATATACTTTATAATATTCTCATAGTTCCAGTTTAAGAAAAGCTTCAAGTAAGGTAGATTTTCTTACAGTGCAGTTTTAGTTGCAGGATAAATTTTGGTAAAAATGTACCAAATTAAAATTTTTCTGCTGACTCCCGCAGAGAAAGAAGTTAGAAGTTTTTTCTTACTTTGTTGTATATTTTTTAAGCTGTGTAGGAAACAAAACTTTCTTTCATATTTTTTAATTGTGTAATAAACAAAATTGGCTTTGAAAAATATTCAAAATTATGCTGCTTAGACAAATTTTGCTGTATGAAAAGTCTGGTGAATGTGTTGAATTTAGGGATGTGCAAAAATTGAATTTCAGTAAGTACAAATTTTTGACTAAATGCAAGGAATTCAATAATGCCTGTGTTTTACATTAGGGAAAATTTAATCTGGTTAAATTTTATCTGGTAATTTAGTCAGGTTAAGTTTTTTTTTTTTAAATTATAAGCTGTCAGCAATATAACCTTTCGATTAGCTCCCTCATTATCACTCTTGAATGGCCTGGACTGAGCAGTGGTGCTTTCCTTTGATGACCCTTTTCAATTGATGAAGAGAGAGAAATCTGAAGGAGCGACATCTGGGCTGTAGGATGGCTGGGGAAGCTGTGCGATGCCAGGTCAGGAAGTCTGTGACAGCAAAGGCTGTGTGGTTTGCCGCATTTTCATGATGGAACTTCCATGATTCAGTGATTGCTAGACGGATTTGAATGACTCGTTTTCTGATTTCAAGGTACTTCCATGTAGAATACAGCATTCAAGTCCGACCAGGTGGTACAAACTCTCTGTGAATTTCTGATTCAAATTGTGCCACTCAAAAATGCTTGATTGAACATGGCATCACTCCCATAAGCAGTCTTGATCATACCATGGAATTCACTCACAGTTTTACCGAGGTTTGATGCAAAACGTCACTATGTAATGCTGCTTCTAACAAACGATTCATTGTGAAGATGAAAAGGCACCTTGAAGGAGGTTCACCTTAAACTTGATCTACAGTTCGCGAAGGCTTGGAGACAAATGGTGACGGATGTGCTGGTAGTTAAGACTCCCCAGAACCCAACCAGTGCAATAACATCCACCTAATTCACCACATTTTGGTAGGGAAAAATAAGTCCTACTACTTCCTGAACAAACCGTGTATATATATATATATATAGCCTAGAGAATATTTTTTAACTTTTTAAATATACATATATATAATATGCATCTTGAAATATGTCCAAGAAATTAAGGCAATATATTAAAAGCACCAGGGACATTTTGGCATTAAAATCTAGGAAATACCTCTTTCTGAAAGCAGTTTTGGGAAATTTGGGGTTTCTTAACGAAACAATTGGATGCTCGGAGGTTTAAAGTCCTGTAATGAAAATAAACTGTAGCAGTCTGATTGAAAGTGAAACGCAGTAATAATAATAATGAAACTAAGCAGAAAAGCAAGCTTAGATTGGCATGATTTTGAATAAATGGTACTTATGTATCAGCCAGTAAAGCTAGAGTACTTTTGGTAACAAAATATATTTTCAATGTCTGAACAATGAAATAGATTTTTTAAAATTTCCACTGAATGTTGTTTATCAATTATATTATTTAAAATTGTACTTTTATCATTCTTTGCAGCTGTCCTGACTTTCGTATGAATTCTGCTAAGTAAGAAGACAACTGAATTTTCTCAAACTACTTGTCTGTTCATATTCTAATACTGTGATGACTGTTGTTGAGATAACATATTTATCATATATTTTTCATTATGATCACGTCCATTGAACGGAAGTTAAAACACTCTTTAGATGGAAGAAACTCATGTTGTGTAGATGGATGCAAATCTAATCAATGCATGATGTAAAACTACAGCAAAAATTACTGCAAGATGAGCACACATTATCCTAAGAATTTTTATTAAATGCCAGAAAATTATTGCCATTATTTTTATTATTGCCAGAAAATGACACAGTGAAAAAATATGCACATCCTCTAATTGGTCTAAAGTTGACATTGAAATGCTACTACTACTACTACTAATAATAATAATAATAAATACTAATAGATGTTTCAATAACAGTCTAAAACAGCTCCAAGGTTGCTGAATGCTTGCAGGTTAGTGATGTATTGGCTAGCACTGGCTGATAAACAAGTACTGAATGAAATTCTAGTGATTTTGAGGATGATCGGACATAGGTCTCTTCTTTTCGGGTGAAAAATTTTCAAAAGTGCCAGCTGATCATAAGAAATTTAATTGGAAGCGAAACACACCAGTGTAAAAATTAAAATTAAGATAAACAAGGCTGATATTTTTTACTCCTTTATTTGATTCATTTCTGAAACTGGGATAGTAAGTTTATGATGAATTAATCAAAATTGTATTTAATTGTGCAATCTTTTTTAAGCATCCTGTGTTAATCTTTGTAAAAGCATTTTATGTAATCAGAATTATTTCAAATATTTCTTTGTTTTTTAAGGTTACAGATATGATGCTACAAGACAATTTATATCCCAACTGGGCTAGACCTTATAGAGAATTCTGGAGGTCCCATGGTCGTATCAGAATTACTATATTCTGGACTGGATCAATTGTTATGACAGCATTAGTCGTCACCCTGATTGTTAGTGATCTCATTAGTTGGGATAATTTGAATAGAGATTTTGTGGCCACAACTGAGCTTTCAAGAGCATTTTTAGCTTCTTTCATTCTTGTAATGGATTTGCTGATTGTGATGCAAGTGAGTTCAGTTTAGTATTAGTATTTCCTTAACCTGTTTGTTACTTGTGTCATTTGAACCCAATTTAGGCATCTTAAACATACAATATTTATGATACTTGAGCTCACTTGAGGCATAAGAAAAAATAATGTTTCGTTTCTATAAAGACCAAATTGAATTTGTTTCCCTTTCAGATATATATATTTAAATATGTAGTTTACTGTTTTCAAAATAGATGGCAGGATTTGTAATTCATTTGTTTCAACAGAAAGAAGGATGGGTGTAGTCAACTATAAATGTGTACGTAAAGAATGCATAATTTCAGTTTGATTTCACACAGTTCATATAATTCTGTTTCTCCTCGTAATTTTTCGTGAAGTTTTACCATCCCCCTTTTTTTCCGGGAGGGGGATAATGTCTAATATAAATGATGGTATAAGGAGTACCTTTTAGGTACAAGGAGTACCTTTTGATTTCAACTTATCTGCTGTAGAATTCATGAAAAAGATGTCAAAAGCATTTTCTTGTAAAACTTGCATGCTACCATGTTTGGATAATCTGTGATAACTTGACTGTGATTCATTTTTTATATATGCTAACTATCCTGTTAAACTGATCCCCGTAATGTTCTGCTGATGGACAAAATTCTAAAAAACTCAATTTTTTTTTTTTTAATAGAAGAATGGGTATGCTGAGGTGTATTGGTTTATTTGATGTTTTGGTAATTTTTTTTCGGGAGTGAGAATTGACCATTTTTAATAAATAATAAAGAATATCAGTATTTACATTCGGGGAGAATCTTAAAAATATTCCCTTCTTTCTAAAATAGGAATCAAATTTTCTTGGCATACTTCCAACAAGATATCTACTATTGGTGGATGGACAGTATGCCAAAATTTTAAATACAGTAGTTATTTGATTCTTTTTAGAAAAATATAATTTTTCTTTTACAAAATAACCGATTCCTAGCTTTTTATTGATATAATGCACAAAATTAAACAAGGGGAAAATTTAATTTTTAATGCATTTTTCTGAAATGTATGTCAGTATCAAGGGTTTGAGGAAGGCTTGGTGTTTTAAGTACTAACAGTACATGAAATAAACTTGACACATCTAAAAAATTCATAATAATAAAGATGTTTGAGATATGACAATGAAAACTCACAGAATTGTTAGATGATATATATATTAAAGATGTTTGAGATATGACAATGAAAACTCACAGATTTGTTAGCCGATATATATATGTCACAGATTTGTTAACTGATATATGCAAATCTGCCATTTGTATTCCAAAATCTTTTGGTAATAGGATAGTGCTTTTCCACATTGGGGTAAAATTATGCAAGACTTTTAAAATCGAGAATTTTTGTACAAATGGATTAAATGGAGTTGACCTATTTAATGACCTTATCTTTCTTTAGATATCATGTTACTTGATTCTTGTGGGGATGTGTTTAAAAACAAGTTTATTTAATGAAAGTTTTAGTCTTGATCTTCTGAAAATATATTTAATTTCTTCATTTGCATTTATCACAGAGTCTCTTTTAAAATATACATAGACTGAGATGAATTAATGGTTTGATGATTTTCATCTAACCAAATGTGTACAAATTAAAATGTAGTTACTAGAGGTGGGAGGGCAATTTACTGTATCAGGTAAGGCATTTGTACTTTTACAGACCTGCCCTTGCAATCTGTGTTACTGATTTATGTTCTTAATTAAATTTTAAATATATTAATAGTTTCATTTGAGTGATTCAATTTAATCACTCAAATGATTCTTTAAACTTTATCCGCTCGCGGTTATAAAAATAAAATAAAATCATATCGACATCCGACATCAGTATCTGTGTATTGACTATACAGACACATTTTGCAATTCATTTTGTACATATAACTCAATTTGTCACTAATTAGCATTAATTAAATGAAAATACACATTTTGCTGAAACACGAACACTTATTTTTTTTTTTTTAACAATTATGAAAACATACGAAGCTGTACTTACTTCAGGAGCGAGTTCCTGTGCTCATCCATTCCAATAATCGAGAATTAATTACCCATTTTCTTCGTATTTCTTCATTTCTCTGGGAATAGAACATACTGGAAGTTATTTCTGAAACAATATGAATAATTTGATGCAGTGCATCCAACTATATTTCTCGGAATTAGGTTTCTAATAAATCAATACAAATGTAAACAACACAACCCTAAATCAATGTCTACTTGCAACAAGTGCGCTTCATATGGATACAACTTAGATGATGGGTGGTCTTCCCTTGCTGGGATCCTTATAGATCATATACTTTGATATAAATTGCTGCCCATCATTCTGTCTTTGTGAAAGCACAAACAACACAGCGACCATATTGATTCAATTGTTTTTGCCATAGAAGGATGGGTTGAGAGTGATCGCTGTGAGAAAGAGTGATAACGACTTGAAATCGTTATGTTTCAATTGAATACCAAAACAGCAAAATCAATTGCAACTGATGACGTGCCATGACTAACAATCACTAAATGTTTCAATTGAATGTGGCCTTAAAATTATTTATGGTAGTGTCGGTTTCAGTGAAAAATTTGACATAAAAAGACATAAAACATGAAAGCCAAAAAGACAATTCAAAATTAAAGTGATTTAACTGTCTGTAATTTGATTATAAATTTAAATGATTTTAGTACAGTTTACATAAAGTGTGGTTATAATGTAAGTGAGGCATATTATAGTGCCTGGTCCTCCACTTTAATCGTAAAAGTAAGTAGTAACTTCTAATTGGAGGAAAAGAGTTAGTTGGAGATTGCTTTTCGGCGGAAGAGGCGGAATGTTCAGTGTTGTGATTTTATAATCAGCAATCTGTCCTAATTAATATATTTTCTATTTGTATAAAGTGTGTATAATATACATTGTGTGTTGTTAATAAATGAGAAAGTTAATGTCAGTGTTATTAGCTGTGTACCAGACATGATACCGGCCACAACTAGATCTTGCACATATAAAGAGGCATGATGTTTCTCTTAACTTAAGGCATTCATGCAGTCATTAATAATATCTAATTTTATTATTATTGAAAAAATGAAGTAGTGGGAGAATTAACATTTTGTGTAAACATGGACTTTTTGCAAATAATATTTTACCATTAGACAAAATTAAATAAAACGTTTTTTTGACTTGAATAATAAATAAAGTAATATTTATTGAGTTGTTATTATTATAACTATTATTTGGCTTGGTGCTCATTTAATACTTTTAATAATTATGAGAATATTCAAACCTCTGGTTCGCCAAACAGGAATTTCCCAATGCACTTATACTAGCTCAGTGCCTGTCTTCTGAATGCAGCAGTTACTGTTGTAACTTTTTGAATTTCTGAAAGTAGATAAAGCAAAAAATGTGAATTTAAATATTCAAGAAAAATTACCAAACTTCTTCCATCAAAAGTCAGTGCGGGTTTCATTGATGCCCACATAGTATCCACAATGAAGACAAATCCTTCCATGGGATTTACTGGTACTGGTGGAGCTTATGATGTTGAGGAGGCCAGACTAAACGGGGGATTTTCTTGAGCCATGGTATTATTTTAGTTTGGCCACTACTATAAAGTTTAACTCTGTTGGTTATTGTCCAATGTTAAACTCTAGGTAGAGGGTTAAGCAACTTATCGCTAAGTACGACAGAAACTTGAGAAGTGTATAAAGGACTCTTTATTTAAAACTAAATGAGATGACAGAAGACATTCTCTGTGCTTACAATTCTACCAGCATTTATGGCTAGAAACTTAAAGTAATAAGTCAAATGTAGAGCTTAAATTTAAATAAACTAATAAGACTATACAGAGAGATTTAATTCCAGAATTTCACTGGCATAAATTTAAACTATTAGCAATTATAATGCAAGGCCAAAGACTGGAACTCCTATCTAAAATTGCAACCCTAGTAACATGGCCACAAATGGCAGAGCATGCTCTGACTTAACAACCTTAAAACCTGACTTAAATACATGCGAAATAATTTGAATTCTTGTGGGAAAAGAGAAAGAAGAAGTGACGGTACAGATTCAAAGCATAAAATATCTGGTTATTCTAGTTAAAGGAACCTCAGAGCCCTTTTTTTATGTATTGCATTTATATTGTTGTAAAGATGTGTGATAACCAATGCAGTCCAGTTTCTTGCAGTTGAGTTGTATAAATGATGTATTTTTAAGATTGTAACTAAAATAAAGATAATTTTTGTAACTTAGAACTTGTAACATCAGAAATAAATGAATATGAGTTTTATCAAACTGTATAATGATTTGTAATATATAATAATTGGCTTTTCTTTGCAGGATTGGGACTTCCCACATTTCGTTTGTGATTTGGATGTGAAACTTCCAGGATTACATGCTGCATCATTTAAATTTGAACTTTTTCAAAAATATGTTAATATTCCAGATGTCAGTATTCATGTTACTGGTAAGTAACTTTTAAATTAAAAATAGTATATTAAAAATTTGATATTTTTTAACCCAAGCATAAAATTTGGTGTAGAAGTCATGTAGATAAACTATTGTAATCATCATAAATAGATAATATTCCAGATATGCATGACAAATATTTATTAAATGATTTATATATTTTATATAAAACAATTATTCTTTGCATTGGATACATTTGGTCTGCAATTTTTACTTGTAGGTGAGTATGAAATTAATATATTTACTAAATTAGAATTGCAATTAGATTATTAAATCATCATATATGCTTAAATAGAATCAGAGTTTTGAAGTTAATTATGTGTGTATTACAGGGAGTTTAGATATATGTGTGCAAACTCCCTATAATATGTGTGTTTGTATATACATACACACGCTCATCCATATTGTTGCGTGAATACAAGTTCGTAATAGATTGAATGCACTAGTCCGATAAAAAGTTAATAAAATTAATTCTTATCACAAGAAATATAACAAAACACTGGAATCTTTCCTCAGAGATATTCATAAAACATCACACAGTAGTTATATTTTAAAACTACTAAAACATTAAATAGAACACAATCCAAAGCGCAAAGAAAGTTAATCTCACCACGAATTTGCTACAATCAACAACAAAGTAAACAACTGAACTGAGATGTTTCTCTCCGGCTTTTTAAAGCTTTTTAATCGGGCATGAGAATGTTCTGGTAATTTTTGTTTTCTCGAGATTTCTGGAAAGCAAAAGAGTAGAATTACGGTCACAGCTAACATGGTAGTCAATTGCATTTATTCAGTTTAAATATAAATTGCGAGATATCTATTATTATAAAGGGCTTATTATCTATTTATTAAATGCACATACTCCTGTATTTTTACTTTTTCGATGTAGTTTTCTCTTAAAACTCATCATGCGCTGCATTGCATGGAGAAATAAAACAATTTTAATTACAATTGCACTAAGATTAGCTATTTCGTCATGAAGACCGGTATTTAAACAGCATTTATTAAATGAGTTTGCGTAATTACTTTAGTCTGTATTTTCATAAACTTACATTCATTAAGATGATATTTGCATTATTAAAGAAAGTAGGAAAGCAAAATATATTAAATTATAAGCTAATATATGCCAAGAAGCAAAACTTCTCATGACCGGATAAAGACAGTCATAACACTGAGAGGGTTAAATACTAAATTCGTAACAATATAGATTTTGTTTATTCATGTTATAAGGATTTTCATCTTCATCATCGCGTGCCTTCTGTGGCGTAACTGGAAACGCATTCAGCTAGCAGTTGGAAGGTCTGGAATTTGAATGCTAATGAAGGCATCACTTCATATCTCCCAGCTTTAAAAAAAGTCAAAATCAGTCTACAGGTGGCATACCTGAACTAAAATATGATGAATGATTATTTGTCACCTCATTAATTTGGTGTTTGGCTTCTGCCTGCTTAGTCATCCTTTGTATAATGACTAAGTAAAATGTAAGGAATTTTCTCCTTCCTTACTGCTTACCTTCATAATTAAATTGAAAGTACATCTCGCTAGCAATCAGAAGATTTGGAGTTCAAATTCTGGTGAGGATATAGCTGATGTTTCATGTTTCTTGTTGTGAAATAAACCTAATGACTCTGCAGTATATGTGTCTGCATATTCATATACTGTATTTCCTCCTAGTTTTTTAGTGTTAGGTTCTGAAAATTTTAAAAATAGTCGTGTAATTTTCTCCTTTTTTCACAGCACAGAGTTTTCTCCTTCTGAGGGCTAGTTGATTGGTAAATAATATTCCTTTAATTGTTTTTATCATGTGTATTCAATTTGTATTTGCATTTTTTATTAGAATTTCTTCTATTTTATTTTCCTTTGCATTTGTTATTTGAAACATATTTTGTGCAGATTTTGCGTTAATTTATGTGGGTGAACACATACTTAAGAAACCTTTCAAGCATGTGATTTCCTCTTCTCTTGTTTGTATTTTATCTCATTAGAGACTTATCTGTTGCTGATGTGTTCGATCTTTCGAAATCTGAGTCTTTTAATTGCCCCCCCCTTTACCTTAATTCCTGTGATGTGCTTCTTGGGAACTGTGAACGACACTCATTATGTGAGGTATCCCTAGAGCTTTACAAGGTAATTGAGCCAAAGCACGCTGTGTCTGGATGGCTCAATTATCATCTGATAACTGCTCAACACCCATCAGATATTGTAATGTTAATATGATGCATTTTCATTGGAATTTCTTTTAAACAAATAATATTGTGTAGTTTACATTAATTATTACTATTATACTAATTACATGTTTAGCCATGACTCCTTTTCATTTATTATGTTCTTACTGTAACTGCATTCTTTGGAAATTAAATTAATAGCACAAATTTTCAATCTCGATTTTCTAAGGATAAAGTTAGTTAGAAAAGGGGGAAAATATGCGAGAAAATATGGTATATAATGTCTGGATACTCAAGTACTATGTTGAACTATAGTTACTGTATATATATATATATATATATGCCAGGCATGCCCAAACTATAGCCGATTTTTTAACAAGTTGTCTGATTTTTGAAATATAATTAGAATCAGAAATGATGTTACAGCATGCTTTTTTTAACTACTGGTATTTTAATTTTCTAAATTATATTGTATGCATAATAATGTCAACGATCCCAATTTGTGTCCCTTGAGCTATTTATCAAAGTAATAAATAAAAGACAATGATTTAGTTTCTGTTGCTTTCTATTGTGACGATGAAGCTGCTTTTAGAAACAGTAATGAAGATCAAGATAATAGGAATGACAAATGCGTCAGTGAAGTACTGCATTGATGATCTACCTCAAATCTTATTGAATGAAACCTCAAATATGTGCCGTTCTGAATTAATTATTTTGACAAAAATTTAGATTCTGTAATTTAAAAAATTATTTAATTTGGAAAAATTTAGATGCTTATCTTTTGATTAATTCTCTATGTAATGAATTGATTAAATGATTTAAGGCTGGGTTTGATCTCTGTATTTTGATTCTCACATTAGTTGAGTGATAAAATTTTTTTAATTCTATGCAAACATCCTTACAAGCAACAACTTATTCTAAAAAAAGTATTTTTGCATTTTAGACTGCAGTTTTTTGTAATATCATCCCATCTCATTATATTCTTTCCAAAGGAATGTGTTTGAGTTAAAAGTTTACAAAATAAATAAATGCTATAAAATTAGTTATGCAACAGGCTTGAGTTTTACATAGATTTAGTCAAAATCGCACTCGATTTTGAGGGCAAACAAGTACAAGTTTCACTTCGTCAGGAGCAAAGAAATCTGCAAGACTGGCAAAGCAATTTTGCTCCTGACGAAGAGGGACTTGTACCTGTTTTTGAAATCGATTGAGATCTTGACTAAATCTATACCAAAAGTTGAAGGTTGTTGCATTAGTAATTTCATGTTTCACTTGGTGTTTTTCTTTTCTGTTTTCAAATAAAAGCCTGTTCTTTTTTTTTTTTTTTTTTTTTTTCTTTCCTTTCAAATTATTATGTTTTTCTTCATTTTAATGAACAGCTTTTGCGTTATACTAAAAACCATTATGTCTGAGTTTACTTTTATTACAATTAGTGGGCAATTGTAGTCAGGAAATATCTGAAAACCAAAAATTGTTTGATTTTCTCTCTGAGAAATAAGTCATTAAAAATTTTAAAATATGTATGTCACAGGATCATAGAGGACAAGTGAGATAAGAATTATTTATTTACTTTTATAAGTAATACCATTAATTAAATTGAGAGATCCTTATTAATATATTTCAAACATTTCTTTTCATTCAAAACCCGTTCTACTACTGTAAAATGATATAAGTATCTAGTTGTGGCTCTTAAAAAACCTAATTGCAACCCCCTTGAATATTCTTAAATTCTATTATATAGCTCTCATTGGCATGAAGTTTGGTCTTCCCTGATATATGCAGATGCATGTTTCTGTAGCTTCTAGTCATCATATTGGGTCATATAAAAAGTCTCCGTGCTTTTTTGTTACTAGATGGTATTGATACCTATATATCCAGCAGCACTCACCCGATTGTCTCAAACGAACATGTGCTTAAAAGGTGACATTCAGCTCCCATTGTATGTAAAAATAGTTTTCTAATTTGTTCATGTCAAAAGTTATATTGATTTGAAAATGAGTGAAATATCTGAAGAAATACGGTATATGATGCTTTTTTACTATAAAAAAAAAGGTAAAAACGCTTCAAAAACATGCCGAAAAAATTGTGAAGTATATGGTGAGAATGCTCTGAGTGAACAAAGGACCCAGCAGTTGTTTGCTTGATTCCATCCCTGAAATTTCAGCCCACCAGCAGCCGAGCGGTAAAGTCACTGAACACTGGTAGTTCGGTCCGAGGTTCGAATCCCGCAAACAGGCTGGCTGCATGGGCGTTTTCGTGGTTTTCCCCATGTGTAGTGTGTATACGAGCCAGTTTCCCTTAGAAAGACCTCCACGAAGGCATCCCTCCCCTTAGGCAGATAGCCCTAGTGTGCTTTGCCATAATTAAATACACCACACCACCACCACCACCCTGAAATTTCAATGTTGAGATTGGAAGGGAAGTGTCCATTATGAGCTGCTGCAGCCTGGCGAAAGCATCAATTGGCCCTATACTGTACACAAATTGACTGTTTGAATGAAGCAGTCCAGAAATGGCTACCAGACTTGGCCAACAGAAAGGGAGTTGGGTTCCATCATGGCAATGCGCAGCTACACACATTTTTGATAACTCCAAACAAATTGACGGAACTTGGTTGGGAAGTTTTGATGCACCCATTGTATAGCATGGCCTTTGCACCATCTGACTACCATTTGTTTCGGTCTCCGCAAAACTCTTTTGATGGTAAAAAATTGGCCGGCCGAAGCGCCGCTGAAAATCACTTGGCCAAGTTTTTTGATGATAAACCACAGAAGTTCTTCACCGATAGAATTATGAAGCTACTCAAAAAATGACCAAAGGTCATAAATAATAATGGTCAATATATAGTTGATTAAAATTGATTTTCAATAAAGAAAATTTTTGTTCAAAAATGTACCATAAAAGCGTGAGGACTTTTTATATGACCCAATATATATGATATAATGATTAAAAGTAGTCCACCAATTCAACATAAATATATAATTACAATTCAATAATTAAAGAATTATTTTTAACATGTAAATTTTCTGCTGAAAACTAACAGTAATAGCTGTTTCTGATATTATTAGGCATATGTTTCTGAAGAGCATAATTTCTTTTAATATAAAAGTGATAACATTTATTTTTTTATGTATTTTGAGTAATTTGCAAATTATATTCATATAACATGTTAATAATTATTTAAAAAAATTGTTTTTAGCACACTAATCACCATGATTTTTTTTATTAGGTAAATGGTTTAATTACAGCATCATTGTTTTTGTAATGATTCTGGACTTGAATATGTGGAAAAATCAGATATTTTACATTCCTGCAGAGTATGGGCAATATACTGGACCAGATCACAAAGTGTTTTCTATTCCTGATGTATATCTTTTAGCAACAAGTATGCATTATATTGCTTTCATTTCTGTTTTTCTTCCGTCATTTTCTTAAATGATTGCAAAAGTGACAATGGTGATCAAATGCGAAATGAGTGATATAAAGTTTTTATAAAAAAGCCAGCAGATTATTAATAGTGACTCACTGTGTATAAATATCCTGTGAAAGGTATTATTTATTTCTCACTAGTTAAAGAAATTGTGAATATATCAGGCTGCAGATTTTTTAAACATAAAATGAAAAAAAAAGTTTTCATTATTTGGAGTCCTTTAAGATTATTTTTTAATCATTGTCAGCTAAAATTATGAAAAGAAAGTGTCAATTCTTAGTATATTCATAAATTGTTAAATGTTTCAATAATTAGTATATTCATTAATTGTTAAATGTTTCAATACTTAGTATTTTATATGGGCCTATGGCTGCATTTTCTGTATTTATTTACATATCAGCCTTACTGTAGACAGCTTACCTGTTCTACTATCAGCAGATGCTAACTTTTTCGGCCAGTTGAAAGTACTCTTGAGATACTTTTAGTTTTAGAATCAGTCTTTAAATGCAAAATTAATCATGGGATGCTGAATCAAATCTATTTTAATTCAATTTCTTTATAAAATTTCTCAGTCTCTTTCTGCCTCGTTCTACTAGGCAGATGCAAATTCTGCTTTTTTAATTACTTGTGCATTAACTTTTATTTTGCTTTTATAAGATGAAGTAGATTATTGTTAAGTTGTTGAAAAGAATTTGATTTATTTAAAAAAGAAAGAAAAAATCCTTAGCTGAATAACCATACTTTAAACTGCTACTCTTAAATAGTTTTCTGCATTATTTTAGTATTTATCTTATCAAGATATCAAATTTAGTATTTGTTCTTCCTACAATGAAACCATCTAACCAGTTATGTTCTGATTCTGTGATGATATCATTTTTATTAAATTGACTTGAAAGGAGTTTTATGAGGTGCAGAAAGAGAAAGAAAGTCATTTACTGTGTGGGGTGTGACTCATTTTTGCCCACTGAAATGATGAGCTGAATTTTTTGGCCTATACTGTTGCATTTGAGAAAGTTTGAGCAAGTTTATTTCAAGATTCACCTACACATACTTCATATAATTTTTTTAAGTAATTGTGGATTATAACATGCAAGGAAGTATATAAATTTATTTACTTCCTTAAGTTACATTCCTAAATTTACATTATGAAATCAATTTAGATATATATGAATAGTCTTCTAAATCTATGTTTTCATGAAACAAATCAGAATTCATAAAATAAATAAGCATCCATAACAGAAAGACCAACACATGATGGGGAATTTCTAGAAATGAAAGCGTTTCAGAAATATCATTGAGAAAAATAATTTAATACATTATTTCCTAATATCTGAATGTGTGGATGAAGGATCTTTTTATTTATACACTCTATAACAAAAGAATCAGCGCACCAAGAAAGAATCAGATTGCTTTGAAATTTCATATTTGTTTTGCATAAATGTTTTGACCAAGTTTGCAAATGTTTAAAACTTGATGTTCAATGAATGCATAGTACGATCTCCAGCCCATCGGAACTGCTCATCTAGCAGATTTATATAAAGAGCTGTTTTTGAACTGTTGTTAAAAATTTCTGTTGCATTGCGATTTAGGATACCTTTCAACAACTGAAAAAAATGCCTGCCTGCAGGATTCGAGCTCATTACAAGCAACTGTTAGAGTTTGAAAGAGGTTGTATCATTGGATTGAAAGAAGCAGGCTTGGCAAATTGGAGAATTGCTCGTCATGTGTGTCGAAGCGATGGGGCGATTAGATGATGCTGGCAAGAATGAGTGGACAATGGCAGGTTTCAGTGTCATGATGGTAGCAATCGACCTAGGGCCACAATAGATCAGAGAACAGAATGATTGTCAGATCAGCTGTCACAGTGCCTGATTCATTGCTATCAACCATTAGATGTGTGACCCACACATGAGTGTCCACCCCATGACCATTCACAGATGGTTGATAGAGCGAAATCTATGCTCGTACCGAGTGTTACGCCATGTACAACTCACGCCTGCACACTGTTAAGCCAGATTACAGTGGCGCTTGGGTCGATCTGATTGGAATGATGCTGACTGGGGACGTATAGTCTTTAGCGACGAATCCCGCTTCCATCTGTGTCATGACGAAAATCAAAGACATGGCTGGCGATACCAGAGCAGAGTGCCGATTCTGCTTTCGCTATTGCATTCCACACAGGCCCTCAACCAAGAGTTATGGTCTGGGTTGCTATTTCCCTTGATAGCAGGATGCCTTTGGTTGTCATTAGGGGGCACACTTACAGCACAGCGGTATGTCAACGACATTTTGAGACCTGTTTTGCTACCGTTCCTTTTGCAGTACCCTGGCCTTATTTTTCGGCAAGATAATGCCAGACTACATATGCCACGTGTTGCTATGAACTGTCTTACAGTTTGTCAAACACTTCCTTGGCCAGCCAGATCGGCAAATCTCTCTCCCATCGAGCATGTCTGGGATATGATGGGAAGACGACTGCATCTACTGGGGAATGTTGATGATCTACCCGACAATTGGAGCAAATCTGGCAAGAAATACTGCAGGAGACTACGGACTACTATGAAAATCATTGTTTTGGAGCTCATGCTAATGGAAAATGCAGTCATGTACTTTTGTGTACTAATTAATTTTATTAAATTAATAATTCAAAACTCAAAAAATGGAATTCATAAATTATAGGTGTTTACTAGATTCAGGTAGTGAAAAATCATTCATTCGTCAAGAAACAGCTATCAATTTAGTATTGAGTATAAAGAATTCGAGGATGTTAGTGTCATGCTCAGGAACTTTGAATACAAGTACTACTGGAGAAATCGACTTGTTGTTTACACCTCATTTTAATACTAGCTTCATAATTTCTACTTCTGTTTACATAATAGACAAAATTACAGGAAACATTCCAAGTGAAACATTACATTTGGATTTTATATGAAAGCTTCCAAGATTTAACTTTAGCAGATCCTATATTTCATGAATCGGGAGAAATTCATATTTTATTAGGAGTAAACATATTCTTTACTTTGATCAATGGAGAAGTAATTAAAAGGGACAAAAATCTTCCATTTGCATTTTGTTTTAAGTTAGGATGGGTGATTGCTAGAACTACAAATTTTGAATTCCCAAAGCAAATTTCAATCAATATGCTAAACATAAACACTGAGGAATTAGTTAAATCATTTTGGGATTTGGAACAAATTCTCACATCGAAACCTTTAATTAAAGATTGTTTGAAATCTATTTCTTGGAAATTCATGTCCGTAGTGAAAATGGTCCTTATGCAGTAAAATTGCTATTTAAGCCTAAAAGAAACATGTTAGGTAATTCCAGACCATCAATCTTTTGGAACTTTCTTAGTCTGGAACAAAAACTAATAAAAACTCGAAAAGTATATCAACAATATAAGGACGTCATGTCCAAATATTTATCACTTGGATACACGGAAGAATTATCCAATCATAATCTAGATAAAGTAAATAAACATTTTTATATACCTCATCATCACATGCTAAAGGAATCAAGTCTTTACCACCACAAAACTATGCATCGTTTTCAATGCTAGTGCCAAAACTCTATCAGAGATATCTAATCTGCATCGAGGTAAAAAAGCAGACGATTAACTCAACTCTTCTTTCAAGTTCATGATTCACGCTGTTGTATTTTCTGAACTTAGTTATTTCACGAGATTGTTTAGTGCTGCCGTTTTTTTTTTATCCAGATATTTTGTGGATAAATTAAGAATATTTTAAATTTCAGCGCTTTTTAATACAATTACAGTCCTCACGGTCTGGAGGAAACGGCGTTTGCCATGTTCGTTCATCTCCTTTCTTCTTGCTTAAGAGCAAGATTGCTACAGAGACAGATAAGAAACGCACTCATGATTTTTTTGCTTGCAACGTTGAAAAATGTAAACACGTTGCATTGACAATGCAACAATGCAAAAAGTGGAAATTCTGCAAAAGATGGAGGCAGGTGCTACTCCTCGCTTTATATAGCACAATCGTATGGAATAGCGACACAGACTGTGTATGATATGCAAAAAAATAAAGAAAAACTGTTGAAATTTTACAGCAACAATGATTCTAACACGGGAATCCGAAACCGGAAATCTTTGCATGAGACGAAATCGGCAAACCTCAATGCTGTCTTGTACGAGTGGTTCCGTCAGCGGCAGAGTGATGTGGTACCAATTTAGGGACTGTTCCTGAGAGAAGAGGCAAAGCAGATTCATGCTGATTTAAAAATAGAGGAGCTGTGCAATTTCAGTAGCGGTTGGCTGAATAGATTTAAACACGGTATACGTTATCTGAAAGCATGTGGTTAAAAACTTTCAGCAGATAAAGATGCTGCAGAGGAGTTTATTGATGAATTTTCTCTGTTAGTGGCAAAAGAAAATCTTAGCCCAGAACAGGTTTTTTAATATGGACGAGACTGAACTTTTTTGGCGATGTTTGCCAAGAAAGACATTTGTGACAAGTGAAGAAAGTGCACCATCAGGGGTGAAAGATGCTAAAGAAAGAGTTACCATTTTAGTATGCAGCAATGCAGCTGGAACTTACAAATGTAAACCAGTGGTAGTGGGTAAGAGCACCATTCCCAGAGTTCTGAAAGGAGTATAATCCTTACCTGTAAATTATTTTATTACAGAAATATCTTTTATTACAGAAGTAATAAAAATTCCTGGTTCTCAAAACAACTTATGACTGAATGGTTCATGGAGCATTTCATTCAAAGAGGCTAGAAGGCACTGTATCGGTGTGGGGTTACCATCAAATTGCAAGATTTTACTATTGTTAGATAACTGCTTTGCACATCCAGATGCAACTATTTTAACATGTGATAATGTCATGGCCCTTTTTTTACCCCCAAATACTACATCATTCATCCAACCAATGGATCAGGGCATAATACGCAGTATTAAATGCCACTATAAATCGGAGTTTCTGAAAAAAATTCTTTAAAGTGACCATTCTATTCTCACACTTTGCGATTTAAAAAAAAAAAAAAAAAAAAAAAAAAAAAAAAAAAAAAAAAAAAAAAATTCACCATCAAAGACTGCATTTATTTGTTAGCATGGAATTCTGTTTCCCCAAACAACATTAGTAAATGCCTGGCATAATGTATGGCCGGCCATCTTCTCTGTTTATTGAAACTGAGAGTGATGATAGTGATTTTTCTGGTTTTAGGGTCAGTGCAGCAAGGATTAAAGCAAGAGAATTGCTTTTATTTTCGGAAGAAAAAATAAATGAGGCTTTGCAGGAAGAAGATATTGTTGAATGGATGATGTGTTCAGATGAGCCAAGGCTGGCATATCAGATGACTGAACATGAAATCATTGGCTCTGTTTCGAACTCGCCACAGTAAGAAGACAATTCTGACACCGACACAGATAGTGAATTTGATAGAAGTGAGAAAATATCTTTTATTTTAGGGCAACGAAACCGTGTCGCAGAGCAAGAGATTATGACTCTATAAAATTTACAAAAAAAAAAAAAAAAAAAAAAAAAAAAACTTACTCTGGAGTACCCTAAAGTTTTAAAACAAACCTCCATCAGAAAAATGTTTGAAACATGTAGAAAAAAATGAAATATTTTATGCTTTATTCATATCCCTTATTTTTACATCCCTAATGCTTTTAAATATTTCTGTAAGCACTAATGTAAATTAATACTAATAAAATATAATCAATTTATATATGTAATAATTTATGTACATAATAAATTCTTGTAATAGTGTATAATAATTTATTTAAATGTATCTAATGCACCTTATTTATCTTTTCTGCCCTGAAATCTGCAAAATCCTAAAATCTGCACAACCTTTGGTCCCAAGCTTTGCGGATTTCTGGAATTCTACTGTACTACCATATATGTCAACACGGAAGATACTTCATGTCTTCTGTTGCATTACATTACCTATCACCAAATGTTTGATCAGATAAGGTCATTCCAGTGGTTAAATAGCTTGCTGGCTCACCTGATCTTTGTCTTCCCTCCCTCTCAAACTAAAGTTTAATCTGAAGATATCATCATATCGTATAGCATTGTAGGCAAAAATCAGTTAAAGGCTGAAAAATCTCCAGGTAGCTCACAAAATATGGAAGCTGTGTTTCTGATTTGCTGTTTCTAATAATATGCAGTGTCTCAAAGAAATCACTTGAAAATGACAGTGTGGTTTTAAAATTCTTTTTTGAAAAATTAATACAGAATTTCCCAGAAATATTGTTTATTACTTTGCCACTTCTTATATGTCTTCTTGAACAAAAACTGATCATAATTCAATTGCTATTGCTTATTTTAGATTATTTTATTTGTAATTGTTATTTCTTTAAATCAAAGTATTCAACACTGTGTGGTTAATCTGAATTTTTGCATAGTTTAATTATATGAATAATTACATTTTTTAATATTTTTATTTGTTAACAGAAAATTACAGCCAATGGACTTATGAAATACGGAGCACTCAAATTGATCCCCTTACAAACAAAACTCTTCTGGAAGGTGATATTTCAATGAATTCTCGGTATTTAGGGTATCCTCTTTCCGTCAAAGGAATGGCGTTTATGCCATCACTTATTGGCTTTGCAATGTTTGGGATACTGACATACCTATATGGACGTTTCCCACTACCAACAGAGAGGCTTGTTTATGGTCGACATGGCAGACGAAAAAGAGAGGTGCCTCGAAGCAGTTGGAGACGAGAACGGGGAAACCGTTGTACTCACTATCTTATTCATAATAAGGATAAATATATAGAAGAAAAAAAGAAAGGCAACCAGTTGACTGAGTTGATCGTCGCATGGGAAGATAATTTTGGTCCTACAAAGCAATGTGAAAAACCGTTATGACATACATAGTTACATTTATATCCTTTTATGCTAGCTTAATAGTATGCCGCAGTATTTGTAATGACTTTAATTGGATTTTTATTCCAACATGCTGCTTATGTTTCTGTGTCATTTCTTGCTTTTCATAAGCATGGATTCCTCATTTTGTACAAAAAATTTTGTGTTTTAAAAACATTTGTTTATTTAAAAAAATATTATAATTTTATAATAAAGTAAAACTACATTATTTCTGTATAGACCTGTATTAACGTAAATGAAAAATTATAGAACTCTGAAATGTAATTGCTCAAGGAGTGACAATATTGCAGTATTTTGTCTTGGTCATTTGAACCCTCTATGTCATAATTTTTTAAACAATAAAAATTTAAACTTAAAAAATAGTAAAAATAAATACTAACATTTTAGTAATTCTGTGCTATTAACAACCTTTTGTTTTCTTTCTTTTTGTAATTTTATATTGACTAATATTTCGAAGAACAAAGCTAGAAGAACATACATAAACTGAGGGTTTTGATAGTTCTAAGAAAGCCAGTTTGTTACCTGGGACATAATTCATTTCATGTAGCCATGAAATGAGCTGTTTCTAATTAAAAATTGTTAAAAGCATGCTCAAGTTGTAATATATGAAGTAAATTTGAACCACAGCAAATTCTAACAGTTAGATTTTAAGTTAGAAAAAATTCAATTTAAAGAAGAGTTTATCATTAAAAATTAAAAAACTGCTATCTCAAAACCTCCGATTACAGTCTAGCATTTTAAAGAAGAGTTTATGCTTGAAAACTGAAACAAATAGTAGAGGAAATAAAAATTAAAAAAACAATTAGAGTGCAATTTGATTTTCCTATTCAGCTTGAAGTTTTAACACCCGAAACAGCTTTAAACTAAACAAATATGGTAGACTTACTAGTTTAAGAATTAATAAATTTAAGATACAGAATTAAAAAAAAATGTTATATTATATTTCAAAGAAAAATAACTCATTAACAAAAAATAACTACCGTATTTGACGGCATATAAGATGCACTTTTTTTCCTAAATTTAGTCTCAAAAAAGTTACCTGTGTCTTATACGTGAAGGTAAATGCATTCAATAATTGTTTATTTGGCTTTTACAAAACGTGATAACTAAAAGAAACCACACTATTGAAACTTTTTTTCCTTGTGTGTGGCCATCTAAATAACGGTGTGTCTTATATGCCGTCAAATATGGTAATTAACAAATAATATTATACCAGTTGATTAAGGAATATTAATACATTTAAAACAGGCAGATGGGCTCTTTTTTAATCTTATTTTTTGGTGAGTGTAAGTTACTACACTACTAAAAAAAATTATACCTGTTTACATAAATTGTAAACAGGTATAATTTTTTTAATGAAATGTGTGAATTGTAAATACATATTTTTCTTATTTTTAGAATAAAGACTAAAAAATTATAAAAGTGGGCATATATATGCACAAAAATAATAAACAATTTTGTACAGACCTAAATCGCTAGAAATAAAATGCAGTACAAATATTAAGTAATTTTCATACCCATTTATATCACAGGACATTTAAAGCAATTAAAAAAATAAAGGATTTTTGTACACATCTACACCACTAGAAACTGAATGCAAGTTCTATTAAAAATTTCTGGCTACTAGTTTTTAATTTGAAAAATTTATCTTCTAAAGTTCAGAATTATAAAATTTGATATTTTTCTAGTCATTATTACATTTTTTAATCATTGTTTTTACTTGTAGAAAAAATTAGTAGAAATTAATGTATAGGATTTGATCATTATTAATGTGTATTCTGAACCCTTTTTATCATAATTAAATTCCTATTATGTATGATTGAAGATTAACTGATTAACATTGCTTTTCCCGTTGAAAAATATCTAGAAATACTGTTCCTCTGAGTATGCAAAATATTATTGATACTTAAGCAGCATTTGGAATTCCTGTTTTTCCAACACTGGTATTCTATGTCTGTATAGTTAATATTACTGATTTAAATAAAGGTATGTACTTGTGTTACCACTAATCTAAAAAATATTACAGTGAGCTAGCATTCGAGGAAAATAAGTGATATATACATACACACACACACACACATATATATATATATATATATTATACATAAATATTGTATTTTACCTGCAAATTCGTGGTTTAATTTTTTGAATGTTATTTATGTTTTGCTGTAATATGTGTTGTGATTCCAGCATTTCTATGATAAAGTATTTTCATAGCATTTCTGCCTTGTATACTAAGTGTCAAAATATGAATTCTCTAAAGAGATATTTTGCCATATTTGTTGTATATTTTTGTGAATTTATTTGTTATTTATTATATATTCTAGTCAACAGCCTTGATTTTATTTAGATAATTTATAGCTTTTATTTTCCCTTGTAGATTCATTGATATCAATCCTGTTACTTAAAGTTTTTATCATTATAAGCATTTATATCATGCATAAATTCTTCTTTCCTGTGTTCTATCACTTTGTAGTACAAAAACAAAAAGTTGATGGTAAACTTTCTGGTCTGTTGTGTTTATTAGTAGTGAGTATATGAAAATTTAGCAATATTTATATGATGTTTTCATAGCTTAAGGAGTATTAGAAAGCATAATTTTTAACATACCCGTAAATATTTGTATACTGCTAGGGTTCTTTATATGTTTTGTTATGATATAGTTTACTATTTAAATAACTGTCTTTTAGTTCTTAGTTTATTTGGGCTGAGGCTACATTTGTGTTTCTTACTGTCACATTAACTTGTAATTGTGAAACTCACGTAATTTATTAATAAGAAAACAAAATACTTGAGAAGCATTTTTCTTGGTTAACACTTTTTATATGGTCGCATCAAACATTTCAGCAAAAGTCTTTGTAAGTATATACATTTCCTCATCTTGAGGACTGAATATGACCATTATTGATGAAACTTTTCATCTTTTATGTACAAGTTGAAGAAACTATTGATATGTTATATCTGATAAATTGAAGTCAGTTATATACTTCTTTTTTCTTCTTCAGTGCTGTTTTTCTGCCTTTGAATGAAAAAAATTGCAGTCTGATATTTTAGATTCTAGATTAATACTTTAGAATTTGAACTGAAAAAAAAGATTATACCTATTTATTTGGTACAGCCAATTCCTGATTAATGGGGAAATACGAGCAACAATGTTCCTGATTATTTCAAAATCACAATTAAACTGATGCCAATTAAAAACATAAGGAAGAGAAATACCCCATACCATAATTAACAGAAAAATACTGTTAATAATTTCTTGCATTTTTCAAGTGTTGTAATCTAAAAGTTTAGTTAATTATATAAATTAAATAAACAAAATATTGCAAATAATGAAAGAATGAACACCAGTTAAATAAACAGAACATTTCAAATAATGAAAGAATGAACACTAGTAGAAATGATGAAACTAAAGTTTATAAATGGTATTAACCCTTAGTGCTCCGTTGGCTCCGCTACATAGCCATCCGTCATTTGTTACGTAACTGCGTAGGCTCCGCTGCGGAGCCCAATGTTTTTAGCATGATTAAGCTTAAGATGTTACGGAATCATCGGCGTTGGCAGTTGTTATCTGTAGTTAAAACGAGCTCAGTCTCCCTACTGTTACGATTGAAACATTATTTAACCCATTTTATGGTTAGCAACATGGAGAAAAATAATTATTGTGATGAGAATATAGAGTTGAGTGATCGTGAAGATGTGTTTGATTTTTCATTGTTTTCATTGTTATGATAATTCTGACACTTTAAGTGGTGGTTCCGAAATTATACTACCAAAGAGATGACGAATGGTAGTTATTGAAAGTGAAAGCAAAGAGTCGCTGGAAGACTTGAAGACGCTGAAGATGAATGGCGCGATGTCGCGGAAGAATTAGATATTCCTGATAGAATACATTTTAGTGTATCGCCAAAGGTCATTAGACCACAAATTCCTACAAATATTGTACAGCTGACACAATATTTCAAATTATTTTTCACAAATGAACGGGTATATGAAATATAAAAGACCACAGTTACGCAGAAAATTTTCTAAAGATAAAGAAATATCTAGTAATTCTGTTTGGAAACGTGCCGTTTGGTGAAGAATGAGTTTTGGGCTTTATTGGAGTTATTATCATATGGACGATACCCCGGCGAATAGCAGATTATTGGTCAGTTATGGAGATAGTCACATCTCTTTCTTTGGGTAAAATTTACAAGAAAGAGATTTATGCAGATATTCTGGATGCTGCATTCCACTGCGAAAATGTGCCAGAGTTGCTGGTAGGCAGTGGTACAAAAACGTGCGGGGGGGGGGGTTAACGAACAGTATGTATAGGAGAATTTGAGTAATGGCATTGAGTTCAGTTTGCATAAGAGAGTAAGTTAAAACTTCTTGCTTTTTTAGCAGAATTTTATTTTTTAAAGATAAGATAATGATCTTGTTTTGGGGATGATTTTACAGTGCTTATATATACCAGATTTGCATGCAATTAAATTATTATTGTTGTGAGTAAATGTAACTCCTAAATATTATAATATCAGTATTCACTGCTATTATCTTGTACATTTTTCTCTTCTAATGAATGACAGCTTTGCTTTACATTGATGATTCATGATAGTAATTTCCCCTCATCTTAAAATAAACAAACTTTTGAGCTAGGATGTGATAACTTTTTAGATTGGTCCATAAAATGATTAATCAGGAGGTAGTATTTTTTTTCAAACTGTGGAGTGTATGATAAAAAATTAAAAATGACATTGTTTTAATAATAATAAATATTTACTCATATGTACATGTGATGTGTAGATGTAATTAAAAAAAATTATGTCACATGGGTTGGTAACATTTCATATTTATAGATATGGGGGCAGAATTTAGCAAAAGTTGTATGTTAATTGATACTCAGTAACTCGAGAAACTTCCTATTTATGGATATTATACAAATGTAGATGTCTACTGAATAGATATTATGGTGTGTGAATTGGTAATATTTGCTATTTTTGTATGGGGTGATTTCTTTTGTATTCTACAGGATGGGGGGGATTGCAATCTGGAGTGCATAAAAGATATTAATTTTTCTATGAAATTTTCTAAAATACCTTTAGTTACACAGAAAAGTTTGAAAGTGTCTTGGATTATAGGAAGTAGCTCAACTTCAAAAATTATTATGAGCCACTAGCAGCCGAGTGGTTGTTTGACCTGGGTTTGATTCTAGGTGAATGGATTGGCTATATGAGCATTTTCATGGTTTTCCCCAAGTGTGATATGGATATGAGCCAGTTTCCCTTAGAAAATCTTCCACAAATGCATCCCATCCCTTAGGGAGATAGACCTCGAGTGCTTTGTTTGTCATAATCATATAAAGCAAACCAATAAAAAAATCTATACTATTTAACGATATTATAATGTTGTATGATCTAAA